TTGTTTTTTTTCGTTTGTTTGTGTTTTTGTCAAGCCTTCGTTATTTCCACCAGTGTTGATGGAGGGAGGGAGGGAGGAGGAGGAGAAGGGGGGAGGTTGGAGGTCTGTGTCTGCAGGATTAGGAAAGAGGAGAGGAGGGACAGGCTGGAAGGATGGAGGGAGCCGCGGAAGACGGGAGAGGAGGACAGGCTGGAGGAGAGAGAGGACGGAGGAAATGGGAAGATAAACAGAGGGGAGGAGGAGGAGGACAGGGGGGAGAGTATGGACACAGGAGGGACATGGGAAACGCATGTGGGGGAGACTGTGTGTGTGTGTGTGTGTGTGTGAGAGAGAGAATTAAAATTCATGACTTTCTCTTCACAACCATTTGAGTAACAAGATTAAGACGGAGCTCAGAGAGTTATCAGACGGCCTCAGTCCTCCAGCTGCTGCCTCTCTGCTGCACCACAGTGGGGATAAGAGGATAACGTGCGACCTGCCTGTCCATCCCAGCACATGCCTCACACACACACACATACACACACACACACAGGGTTTGGAGACACCCCCCTTTGGCTCGGGGGGTCCTGCCTGCTGCCGGCCGTCCCTCCAGTGTCTGTGACAGAGTGAAGCTGATGTTTCTGCAGCGAAGTCCATGAAGTCAGAGTGGAAATCTAATTTAAACCATCGGTTCTACCATCGGTTCTCCCGTCGGTTTTCGCATCGGTTCTCCCAGCAGCCCAGGTTTTAGAACCCAAAGCTACAGCAGAGGATTCTTCTTCTTTGGTTCTTGTTCCACCTGCTCCGGTTCTTCTTCTTCTTCTGTGGTGAAATATTCCCCAGTGCAACAGAGAGCCAGAAGGTGGCAGTAATGACACTGAAAAGATTCAGATCTGCTGGTGGAACACCACAGAAGGCTAACTGCATTAGCAGGGTTAGCTTAGCCGCTGTGAAACTCCACAGGAACAAGAACTTTCTGTGAAAATGACCACGGGAAAAACTTCCAATGATTTGAATTTTTTTTTTTTTTTCTCACACAAACGCAACATATTTCATGAACTAAATAAAAACGTTCACAACTTCCAGACCAGTTGATGGATACTAAAACTTTCAGCTCCTGTGGGAGACGCTGCTCCTTACCTTCTGGTGAACCTCCCAGACCTGAGGGTCGTACTGCTGCTGCACACACACACACAGTCCAGCCTCCTGGGCCAGGTCACAGAACTGAGTCAGAGTCCGACCTCGGTGTGGAGCCAGAACCAGAGCCAGACCCTGGGAGGACGAGACAAGTGAGAACAAGGACATCTCCTCGGTACTGATGTGACGTCCGGGATGTCCCGGAACCGTGGAGCCAGAACTGGACTCCGTGACTGTCGAGCCCAGCAGGGGTCTCCTATTGGACAGATAGACTCAGACTCCGCCCCCCCTCCCCTTCTGAACAACAAACAGATGAACTCCCGGCCAAGCTCTAATCAGCTGATTAATGGACCACCGTCGTCACAAACAACAAATTAGTTAGACGTTAGACGGAGAATTAACGAGGGCTCTGTTAGCTCTCTAATCAGCTCAGCAGAACATTAAATATTTACACAGGCTGTTGGGGGGCGCTGTGGCGGTGAGACATCGACGACCATCGAACCATCGAAGATGGTCATTAATGATGTCATAATTACTATATCATTTCAATAACATTATTGTCATTAATGACCCCCCGCCCCCCCCCCACCA